CCATTCAAATACCTACTTACAATAATAGTGAGAATATGCTATGAACACTTAACCACCCACACTAGAATTTTAAATCTAAGTTCTTTCTGAATGCTGTTTTGGTGAATTTCATTGTGGGAGGTGAGATGGTTTATAACTTTAAATTTTCTATTATAGTCAAAGGCATAATTTATCTGACATTTTTTTTCATTCTGAATAAGGAATTACACCAGAATAATGTTTTTAAATAAAATTTGTCCACATAATGACAATTTTTTTCTCTTCAATTCTACTCAAACTAAAATAGCTCAGAAGCATTTATTTACTTATCATAACTGTTAAGAAATTATAGTCATTACTCCTACCATCACTTCTTCTTTTTCATGCTGGGGGGTGGGGGAAATGCATCACTGTGCTGCTTGAGAAAATCTCCTGTATTCCTGTTTTTGTAATTCATCAGTTGATTGAGCCTTTGGATAGCTGAGCAAAGTTAAAAACATACCCCACACAACTTCTGCCTCCCAAGAGCTTACTTTCTGAAGAAGAAAGTTTTTTTCAACATAGTAAAGAGAATGATCATCTTTCTTCCTTGCTAAGTGCTCTACAATATAGAATATAGATGTTACAAAGTGTGTCAGTGGAAAAGCAGAAGGAATATGTGCTAGTGTTAGACTCTGGCTTAAGTTTTTCTCTTGTTAGGAAAGGTGGTGGTACTACAGACAGACAATATACTTACTCTAGTTCTAACTTTAGGTACATTGTCACAGAAACAGGTACTTTGGCCAGACTTGGTGGCTCAGCCTGTAATCCCAGCACTTTGGGAGGCCAAGGCGAGTGGATTGCCTGAGCCTGCAGGTTCGTGACCAGCCCGGGCAACTTGGTGAGATCTCATCTCTACAATAAATCAAAAATTAGGCAGGCATGGTAGTGTGCGCCTGCAGTTCCGGCTACTTGGAAGGCTGAGGCGGAAGGATCACCTGAGCTCAGCAAGTCGATGCTGGGGTGGCCGTGAGCGTGCCACTACCCTCCAGCCTGGGCGACGGAGTGAGACTCCAAAAAAAAAAGTATTGCCGGGCTCGGTGGCTCAGCCTGTAATCCCGCGCCTTTGGGAGGCTGAGGTGAGTGGATTGCCTGAGCCCACGGGTTCG